CGTCTTCACTTTTAGCAAGCAAGGTTGTGTCATCTGCATAATGTTAAGCTGTTGATGACTTTTCCTCCAATCTTGATGCTGCATTCCTCCTCATAAAGCCCAGATTCCCAAATGATCTGTTCTGCATATAGATCGAAAAGTCCCTAATGCATTCCCTTCTTGATTTTTTAATGATGCAGTGTTTCCATACTGTGTTTTGAGGACTGCTTCCTGGTTCAACTATGGTTAAGAGCATGCGGTTGTTGTTGTAATGTGCCATCGAGTCAACTGTGACTCCTAGCAACCCTAAACAGCCCTAAACCCTGCTCTATCGTGTGCCAATTTCATTGTCTCTGACACATCTACCCCCAATACCCCAGTCACTGAATCAATCCATCTCACAGAGGGTCTTCTTCTCCTGCGCTGTCCCTCCACACTCCCAAGCATAACGTCCCTCTCCAAAGACCGGTTACTCCTTGCAACATGTCCAAAGTATGTCAGACAAAGCTTCAGAATCCTTGCCTCCAAGGAGCAGCCTGGTTTAACCCTCTCCAAGATGAACCAGAAGAATTTCATAAAACAACATGTGAGAAAAAGCCTGTGGTGATGAAAAGAAGTTCAAGCTGCTTTGAAAGAACTGGAAAGAAACAAAGGCCCAGGAATTGACGGTATACAAATTGACATGCTTCAACTAACAGATGCCGCCCTAGATGTGTTCAATAAGTGTGCCAAGAAATATGGAGGACAACCACTTGACCAACTGACTGAAGATATCTATATTTGTTCCCATCCCAAAGAAAAGTGATCCTACAGAGTGTGGAAATTATCTAAGTATCATTAATATCACATGCAAGCAAGATTCTGCTGAAGATTATCCAAAAACAACTGGAATAGCACATTAAGAGAACCACCTGAAGTACAGGCTGGGTTTAGAAGAGCCTGTGGTACCAGGGATATTGTAGCTAACGTTAGATGGATCTTGGCTGAAAGCAGGGAATACCAGAGGAATGTCTATCTGTGCTTCATTGACTATGAGAGGTATTTGACTGTGTTGATCACAACAAACTGTGACTAACTCTGAGAAGACAGGAAATCTCAAAACACTTGATCATGCTAATGTGAAACCTATACTTGGACCAGGAGACAGTCGTTAGAACAGAACATAGTAACACTGCATGGTTCAAAATTGGGGAGGGTGTACATCAGGGATGTATCCTATCTCCAGACCTTTATATGCAGAACAGATTATCAGGGAGGCTGGACTCTATGAGGAAAAATGTGGCATCAGGATTGGTAGAAGATTCATCAACAATCTGCACTTGTCCCAGGTACTGTAATTTGTCAATCACTCCATGGATAATAGTTAACTATTCCTTCTTTTCATTTAGCAATTTAAAGCTTATGTGTTGTGTTGTTTTTTTTTTTTAAAGTAGCTCTCCACCTATCATCATTCTCCAATTTTATCAAGATATTTATGAAAAATCAAAAAAGCAGCATTGAAGCAGGCTCATTTTAAGTTTGCAAAAAGTAGTCAAAAAATGGAAAAAAAGGCCAAGAAGCTGTCAACGTGACTATAATATCAAACCTTTAAAATTATCTACACCTCCTTATTTATTAGCTATCTCAACGACATTTCACATTTACGGCAACAGGAAAATAGCTACCACCCGACTGTTTTGCATACGAAGAAGCATGTCTGGCAGTAACTTCAGCTGAGAACAGCTTTGGCTGTGTTGAGCAGGACTCCGTGTCAACGTGGCTGAGCCACAACTCCCGGTGGTTTGGCATTTCACTAACGATATCATTTGGGAGTCAGGTGATGATACATTTTGACAAGCATGCAATCATTTGGTCATCCTCAATTTTATGATCCGACATAGTCTTTGTCCCTGTTAGCTTAACGTTGATCGTCAAATAAAAGCCTTGTCTGAGTCAATAAGTGGGGAGTGAGTGTGTATTATGATAATAGCAAAGCTTAGTAACTGTACCTATCTGATAAAACTCACCAATGGTAAATTTAACTGAATGTACATAGTACCTCATTACATCATGGTGCACGGTTAAAGCATTCAGCTTTAATCAGTGAAATGAAAAGTTCCTGGCCTCAACTTTTGTTGCCTTTCCTAAGCAATATAAAGCTATAAATATAGAGTTCACAACTTAGTCATCAACTACAGGAGGAAAAAAAATCAAGGGGATAAGGGATGGGGGAGAGAAAATAAGAGTAATTTATTAATTAAATGGTAAATTTGTTTGAATTGATCCATTCCTACATCTATATTCACAGGAATTCAAATCAAAACGATTCCAAACACACATTGGAATGAGTTTCCTCTGTTTTCCACTGTCTTGCTCCTGTACAGAACCTCTCAACATTAAAGCAAGGGCTCAAAATTAGAGAAAAGCCAAAGAAAATCATTCCTCCAATTCATCTACAGTTGCCAGAATTTCATGACAAAGATTTAAAAAACTTAGTATTTCACCTATCTCAAACAACACACATGAACTCACACCTTGCTCTCGGGAGCGCAACATCAGCATTATCTGGAAGTTTATTGATGATGTTGCATGTCATCGATTGGAATTGAATCACAGCTCACCCTCCAGTGAGTTTTCATCTTTGTCCAGATGGAAGATTGTTAGAGATGCAAGGATAAGCCCCACCTAGACCTGATCTCGGTAGGTAGAACCCAGTAACTTGTTTAACAAGATTTCCAGGTGATTCTTAAATTTGAAAACCCTATTTAATGATTGAAAAGGCATTCTGGTGGTCTAGTGGGAAGAAGCTCTGTTGTCCACCCAAAGACAGGTGGTCTGAATCAACCAGATGCTCTGTGGGGAAAAGATAGGAATCTCCTTCCATGCAATTTACAACCTCTGAAAAACCTCTGGAGGGTCAGCTATGAGTAGCTTCTGACTTGATGCTTCATAAAAATAACATAATAACTAATGAGTAAAAACCATTGAGTATACACTTTTTCCATATCAAAGTCTCTCATTCTTGAATTTAATGTCAGCAGATTTGAGATTCTACTTCCCAGAGTAAGGTAGGATTTGTACCCAAGAGCATAAGCTTAAAATATACTTAATGACGGTTCAAACTCACTCAGTAATATCTAGAAAGGCTTGAGCCATCTGCTTGAGGAAATGTCACAACCTTGAATACCCTTTGAAGCACAGTCTCATTCTGAAACATATGGGGTGACCAAAGAGTTGGAACTGGGTGTGGTTTTTATTTTAATGAGCCTCAAAAAAAATTAAATCCATAAGCTAAAACAAAATGCCAGCCTGGAAAAGCAGGGTGATATGATCAAGTATAACTTGTCAAAGAATACAGAGACTACAGAAGCAAGTCATATTTAAATTCCAACAAATACTCCATGAGCTCTACGTGTGCTAAGCCTGTGTTAACTGAAATGATCCTATTTAACTTTTGCAGGAACAATTATCTACTTTTGTATGTTAAATGGTAAGACTTTGTAATACAATCCCAAAGGCATGTGGTTCAAATCCATCAGCTGCTCTGCAGGAGACGGATGGGCAATCTCCTCCCATGTGATTTAATGCCTCTGAAAACCGGCAAGAGGTCAGCTATGAGTTGGTTCCAATTGTACATAACAACATATGCTGAGTTTGTTGTTGTTATGTGTAGTTGAGCTGCTTGCGACTCATAGTGACCAGAGGCCTAATAATTTGCCCCTTTGAATGGGGCAAATGGTTAACACACTACTGAGCTGTTAAATGAAAGCTTGAAGGTTCAAATCCATATGAGGGTACTATGGAAGAACAACCCAATGATCTACTTCTGAGAAATCAGCCACTAAAAACCTTCCACAGAGAACCCTTCTACTGTGATGCCTATTGTGCCACCATGAGTTAGAGTCCACTCAATAGTTACTACCCAGAATGGAGACAAAACTGTAAACAAGCAAGACCACGTGTTATTTCTCTAAACAATCCACTTACCAGTAAGCCTGGCCAGCAGGCTTTGAAGGGCAAGACCCTTGAATAGAAATGTTCTTTTTGTTTCTTCTTTGGTTAATGGTTCTCACTGTGTCTCTCTCTCTCTCTGTGTGTGTGTGTGTATCACAGTTGTATAACCAGTTGCTTACACAAAACCATGTGCATTGCACTTTTATGGCAACATAAGAAAACGTGAGACAATTTTCATTACTCCAGGCACTGTTTGCTTTACTCTAAGATTTCATTCTCTTAGCTGCTAAAAACTCAGGTTCCATATATTTTCTCAGATACATCCACTAGATCTTTATTCTCTGATCCTCTCTTTAACGACTTTTTTCGTACATGAGTAATAATAGTCTTTTTAATGATGGCAGCCGGAACTTACAGGTTGTGGCGTGATGGGTTAAGTAGTTCTGGAATCTCCCTTCTCCCTGTGTGTTACACCAGTGGTTTAACAGGTATGGCATGTATGCCAGCACACGCACTTTTTCCATTTTGTGCCCAGGGAAGAAATTACTTCACTCAAAGCTAGGACATTATTCTCAAGGTCCTGGAATCCTTTCAATAGCATTTTAGGCAGCTACCTTCTCAATCAAGTGGAGCATTATATTACTGGCAAAATATATTCATTTTACTCGTCAATCAGCATGCCCCTTCCTTGTTTTCCATTTGCCCCAATTTCCTTTTTCAACTCCTCCTTTCATTGTTCTCAGAACAATGAAATTAAGGTTAAACTAATCCTAAACTACAATCTTTACAAATCTATGCCTCCTTCAGGGTCGCAATCACAGTGGCTTGTACTGAACAGTTTTAACAATTTGAATGCAGCTGGAACCCAGCATGTAGTGCAAAACTGCTATGAAAATCAAAGAACCAAGTAAATAAAGGTACTGAGCAGACAGAGAAACACCTGTGAAACAGTATTCCATGCATATGACTGGGAAATGTACAGCATGAATAGCCTGGGGAGGCTGGGGTATAACGCCAAGTTTATAAGCATGAGAATATAGCTCCAGTAAATAATTCTGATTTTTCTTTGGGTACTCACTGATGATTCTTTATTCGGCTAAGGGGGCACCACACTGTTCTTTTAGCAGCATCTCCATTATTCCAATTCCCTGTATAGAAAAGAAAGAAAAATCAAAATGCCATATTTCACGGACAAGCACTTCTGCATTTATCACAACCTTTTCCCTTAAGGAATCCAAGTCATAGCCATATATTCATTTCAGAAAAAGAAGCTCACAGTCACACCTTGCATTTTTACAACATTTTACTCAGCAATTTCACATACATTATCTCCACGTGGGCTCAGAACCACTCAGGGAAGAAGGCAGAGTTTAAGAGCTGCACTTTAAACATAAGAAAACAGCCTACAAGAAGTTAAGTGACTTCTTGAAGGTGATTTAGCTACTGAGCAGCATTGGCAGAACTGGAATCACAACGGTAAGAGTTAACATTTATCGAACACTTACAAACGTGCTAGGTTCGGTGCTAAGGTTTTTATGTGCACTCTCCTGGGTAGTAGGTGTTGTGATGTGCAGAGTTCTCCTTCAGAACTGAGCCTTGCTTTCTACCAGCTGATGGGAGCGTACACTGCTGAAGGGAGCGTACACTGCTGAAGGAAGCATACACTGCTGAGAGGAACATACACTGCTGAGGGGAGTGTACACTAATGATGGTCACACCGGCACTCAACTGGACAGAAACTGTCCCTTCCTCAGGGTAGCTCACATCCAATGACTGGTGGATATACAGTGTTAAAGACCTGGTCTCCTTCCTTCTGAGGACATCTAAGCTCAGAGCTCCTAATGGGGTTAGGGGTTAGCCTTCATAACTGCTGTTCAACTTCACCCCTGCCCAATCATGTTTCCTTCACTCCCTCAAAAGATTTCCTGAGAGTTTTCTCCAATTATCCTCTGCATGAAAATCTCCATCTTTGAGTCTGTGTTTGAGAATGAGTCTAAGATCTTCTGTAAATATGCACAAATCCCCTAGAGAAGTGTTAGTCTTATCATGTTTTCCAGGGGAGAAAACAAAGCACCAAAACCACAATAAAAAACCAGAACCTCTCCCATCAAGTAGGTTTCAACCCAAGGTGGCCCTCCAACGGGTTTCCAAAACTATGTGTCTTTATAGGAGGAAACTCGTCTTTCCCCTGCAGAGCACGTGGTGGATTCCACCTGTGAGCTTCCTTTCAGTTTCAGTCCAATACAAAATGCACAAGGAGCTGCCATGTCTCCCTGTTGGGTAAAACAGCCAGGTATTCTATTCTGGTTCCAGAGACCACTTTTCACCTTTCCTCAAAGCTCATCCCACTACTGTACATATACCAACATCTCAACACCTTGTTATTGTTGTTAGGTGCCTCCGAGTCCAGTATGACTCACAGCAACCCAATGAACAACACATCTGAACCCTGTCCTACCTTGTGGCGTCCTCAAAATCTGACACACTTCAGCCCATTGCTACGGTCACTGTGTCAGCCCACTTGGTTGAGGGTCTTCCTCTCCTTTGCCATCCCTCCCAAGCATGATGGCTCTCTCTGAGGAATAACCTATTGTTATGTGGCAACAAGTCATTTGTGACTCATAGTGACCCTCTGTACAACAGCTCTGAATCCTGCTCGATCCTGTATCAACCTTACTGACTCTTGACATATCTTACCCCCATTACCCCAGTCACTGAATCAATCCATCTCATCGAGAGTCTTCCTCTCTTGTGCTGTCCCTCCACCCTCCCAAGCATAATGTCTCTCTCCAAGGACTAGTAGTCTCTCCTTGCAAAATTCCCAAAGTATGTCAGATGGAGCCTCAGAATACTTGTCTCCAAGGAGCATGCATAGCAAACAAAAATCCTCACCCTGGAATAAAAGACATCATCAGGATAGAGAAGATTGAAGGGGTCGAGAATTTAATGTAACATGGCTCTATAATCAAAGCTCATGGCAGCAACATCAAGAAATCAAAAGACATGTTGCACTGGAGATACGTGCAGTCAAGGATCTCTCCTAAATTCTAAAGAACTAACATACCAGTTTAAAGACTGAAATATACTAATGTGGTTAAGATTCTAGCTATGGCAGTTTGAATTGCTTCCTATGTATCGGAAAGCTGGAGAGTGAATAAGGAAGACAGACAATGAATCAGTGTTTCTAAGTTGTAGCCGACAGAGAGCCAGTGAAAGAGAAGACGATCCTCAATGAGATGGGCTGACAAAGCAACTCTAAGAATGGGCTTGAGCATGGCAGAATTCATGAGAATGGCACTAGATGCAGGATAGGGTAGGGGTGAGATCTGTTTTTCACAGTCACTATCTCATGGTGAATAGATGGTCTCCATCAACAACAATATAATTTACACCTACAGATAGATTCTAGTAACATTCTACCAAGGAGCTAAGAGTAAATATTCTCTTCCCTCTTTTCTCAAGGACAATCACTGTAGACCACAGGATAGACATATAGAACTAAAATGTAATTTTAAACTAAACTATAGTCTTAATGAAGTCAAAGCTGGAACCAGACAAAAGGGACCAGCTGTGCTCAGAGTCTGAAAAGTAGGTTATAAAGAATGATGATCAAAAATAACTTAAAATACAGGTTCTAGTCCCACCGTGTTGTAACAGCAAGGCTCTGATGTAGAAAGACCCAAGAAGGTCCCAGAGTTCTATCATATTAACAACATGCAGGTTCTTTTCTCATGATCAGGCAGGGTTGGAAAATGTTGAGCAGGCCTCCAAGAGGAAAATAGGACTTTCTACTTGAGGTTAGAGCTGAGTCATAAATGGGGATAGGAGAAATAAAATCCATCTATAGACAAAATAATAAATATACTTAACACCAAACTATACGGAACATGGTTTCAAGTTCCTTTGAGGATTCAGAAATGTCTTCAAACTGTCTGGTTATCACCACATGTGCTGCCACTATCTTGGAAAGCAGAAGAATGAATGAAAATCTTGACATAATGCTAAGGAACATGTTGTACTGGTCAAAACGAAGTTACAAGCTGTGGGGCTACAAACATTGTCATCAGAGTCAGGACACTGTGGCTCTAGCAGTTATTCTGCTGAGTATACTGAGCAAATCACTTTTCCAACTAAGACCAGAGTCAACTTAGATCAGAAAAGTTAAGGGGCAACTGAACAGACTGGATTTCACATCTTCTAAACACAGTGGCACAGTAGTCATCAAACCCCTCAAAGCAAACACAGGCTCCCAGTGCTATCCAGAGCTCCTGAGCAGAATTATCTAGCCAAAAACCAGTAATCTAGATATTAATTTTGAACTTCATGGGATTCTGAAGCACAACTATTTCATTTCCTATATTTTGTATCATCTTTACAATCTTAAAACTCCAGGAAATGACATGTTGTTGTAGTTGTTAGGTTCCACGTATGACCCATGTTGTTGTTGTTGTTGTTAAGTGCTGTCAAGTTGTGGAAGACTCATAGCAACCTTATAAATGAAAGGAACACCTGTATAACTTTTATTGTTTCTCCAAGTTCAAAGAGCTTCCAGGACAAGCTATTTCAGAATTGGATGCCACTCCTGCTTCCAAGGCTGTTTTAACCGGGGAGCTCCACCAAACACTGTCCACCATGGGTAACCATTATCACATCTGGCACATCAGTGTCACAGTGTCCACCATTACAGCAACCACGAGTTACCTCTGTACAGCAAATGGACAGACCAGTGCTATACCATGAAGAAGAAAGTTTGACCAAAACCAATGAAAACCAGGACTGAGGGCTGTAGATTAAAATCACCCACCTTTGGCTTGGTAGTATAACTTTCTATCCACGAAGCCCACAGAGCTCTCTCTATGTTGGTGGTGGTGTTGTTAAGTGCTGTCAGGTCGTAGATGACTCATAGTGACCCTATGACCCACAGAGACCCTATAAACAACTGATCTGAACCCTGCTATATCCTGCGTCATCTCCATACTTTCTGAGACATTAGAGCTCATTGTGGCAGGTCTTCTTAATCATGTCTGAGGGAGCTCCCATAATACAGTCCAAGAAGAGCTGCTAATGTAAAATAAAGGTAGCCAGTTCAAATCCACCAATAGCTCTGTGAAATAAAGACAGGTGAGACTTAACAGCATGGGAAAGCCTGATGGCGGCTCAGTTATGAGCTGGCTCTGACTTGACTGCAATCATAGCTGGAGAGATACAGCACATGAAGTGAAAAATAAATCTAAAATTAGTAAGGATAGACTTGGTTAAAAAGATATATTGCGAGAGGGAAAGAGATCAATGAAATAAAAGGAGGAAAACTTTAGGAGCAGGGAGAAAGCTGTGCCGATAAAACCAAGCAGCAAGCCTCCAAGGTTTGGCAAAAAAAGGTTTTTCTTTTATTAAAGAGTGAACAAGACTAGAAAGAACCAGGTACAAGAAGTGTGATGAAAAGGTGGCATAATGAGATAGGGGGGCAGTGAACACTGCTGGGGTAAGAATATCTTTCAGGAGAGGCCCTTAGGAGTGGGTACACAGTGGGTCGGGCTGAGGGTGCACCAAAGATGAGAGACTCGGGGAAGGAAACCTAAGTTTGGTCAATGAGCATTTTGTTCCACCGGGGGCATCCACAGTGTTACCTGAGTCAGAGAGAGAAAGGGATTTCTTTGTTATAAACCATTTTGCACAGCAGACGAGTAGGGGTCCTCTACTCGTTTCTTAGATCACGGGTAACATTTAACACCATCACATGTATGCAGCAACCTTAGAGGAGGCTGGGTGAGTCCACTGGTAGAACGAAACTTAACAGAAGACCTGGGAGCAGGGTTTTCAATCTTTAATTTCAATCCAACCCTCTGCTGAATATGCCCATTTCCACCACAGATACAGACTCAAAAAAACTAAAACAAAAAAAAACCAAAAAACAAAACCAACAGCTCAGGTGAACCTCCACTTGGTTTCCAAGGCTGAAAGTCTTAACAGGAGCAGATTATCTTCCTTTTCTCCCCAGGAGTAGCTGATCGAGTTGAACCAGTGACCCTTTGGTTAGCAGCCAAATGCACCATGTCAGTAGGGCTCCCTTACGGACTCAGAACCAACATTTTAACAAGGTCTTCAGCTGATACCGAAGGGCTACCTGGGGATCTTGTTAAAATACTGA